AGTAATTCGTGTTGCTTCATCAATTAATTGAGTTAATTGATAAATTTCGAAAAGAGACCTTAATTTATTTGTTGGGTGATTGGGATTGGGCTTATGTAGGTCACAGTTAAGATCACCTAGGATAAGGATTTCTTTATTTTCATTATCAATAGTTTGCAATAAATTTTCAAAACTGGTAAAAAAATCATCTGATGCATCAGGTGGTCTATAAACTGAGACAACCACAAATGGTCGGCTATATGGCTTGGATATTTCAAGGCATATAGCTTCTAGATCTGGTGGTATTAGGTCATGTCTAGTTTGATGATTTATGGAGTTTCGAAGGTATATACAAACACCCCCACCATTTTGATTTCTATCTTTTCTTATAACATCATACCCATCTATATTTATCATATTATCAGTTATTGTTGAGTCAAGTCTGGTTTCGCTAAAGGAAAATATGTCAAATAAATTGTTTGACATAGTGAAATTTATTTCATCAAATCGTTTTGGCAAACTGACTATGTTTAGAAATGCCATTTTAAATGCACGCTGCTTTGGCAGACAATTAATTTTATTGGACAAATCGCTACTCATGCTTGTTTTGTGAAGTGGAAAACTATCATCTACTGTTGAAACACTCTGGCAATGTTGGCCAGGTATGATAAACATGCTGTCCAGTTCTTTGCGCGACCCATTGATCGCCTGCTTTGACGAAAAGAATGACTATCTGGAGTATAGCTCATTCCAGATCTCACTGATCGTAGGTAGGAACATAGTGATTTTCCAAGGGCTTTATCACCATTATAGTTAAGGTAAAGATTTGATCTATTTAGGTAAGATTTATCAATGTTATCATTATCGATGAATGTTATTTTATGCTTCTTGCACAAATCATGCACTAAATTATTAAAGTGAGCTACCCGTGAATTAGGTACTTTATTGTCATACCTCTTTACCACACTTGATATGGCAACATTATGTGCGTGTGTCTTTGCTTCTACAATGATCTCTTCCATTTCTTTAACTGACGTATTCACATCATCAGACACTAAGTCATTAGTTCCCACATGAACAATAATGCTGTGCAACTTTGATGTTCTTCCTTCCCCACAATCCTTTTTCAGATTCTTGTGTACTTCTTTGATCCTTGCACCTCGATACGACTTGCATATAGTCTTTGCTTTCGCTGCATAGGATAGTTTTTCTTGGCAAATGTGTTTGACCATGGAGTCACCAATTACGAGTACTTTTGGTGGGTTCAAAATTTTCTTTGTAGGATTGGGATTGTCAACATTACTTTCATTCTTGTTTGATTGTTGATCGATAGTTGATTGAGAACGAGAACTGATGTTCTCAGGTGGACAATTGAAGTTGTCATTTTCCACAGACGTTTCGGTTAGATGACTTAGATCATCATTGGACGATTCATTTGTAGTATGTTTGTCTACAAGGCTTTCAAAGCTATTTGAGACCACTGCAGCATAACTTTTCGGTGTTGATGTTACAGATGTTGACTTGGTCGTACTAGATGCTTTGTTTTTTTCTACCTCAATCCATTCATTTTGTTTCATTTCTAGAATAATTTTCATTTGATTATTCTCGCTGGTAATTTGTTCGATCACTGTTTTAAGTGATTCAATTTCGTCCGCCATTTTGTAATTCAATGTTGACATATTTTTCATGGCGTCTTTCGTTTTAGATAAGCTTTTCTCGGTTTCGTATTCACTTTCACGTTGATTTTTTCCCAATTCTTTGATAATAGTTTTTATTTCAGTTATTTCCTTCTTCATATGCAAGATTTCTGTATCTTTTGAGTGACATTTATCACATGTTTCATGATGCTCAGATTTTCCGGTCGCTTCGGTTGATGTCATGGCGGCCACGTGTTCGTCGGTACAAACAGATTTTTCAGTGGTTTTCATCGACGTTTTCTCTTTCAGGATATTCGAAATACACGAATTTTCGTCTTTCACAACTAGTAGCTTTTTCTTGCTCGGTCCCGACCATTTAAGCTTGAGGTTTTCGTCGGAATATGATTTAGCATCACCTCCCGGCGATGTCCATTTTCCAGGGAGATGTAAAACTTCCTTGGAAAAGCGTTTTAATTCTTCGAAATCGCCAACCCAAAGTAACTGACCGTCATCCTTCTTTATTAATCTATCCTCTATGCCTAAGGATTTAGACTTTGTGTAATTCAACGTTTCAGAATTACTAGAAACTTGATCAGCCGCCTGAAACTTGAAGGGCCGTCCTTCACGGCAATTCACTGTGTTTTTAATCGCCAAATTATTCGATTTTATTTCGTATGTTGTATTATGTTTACACGCCTATTCTCCTAGAAACTTGAAGGGCCGTCCTTCACGGCAATTCACTGTGTTTTTAATTGCCAAATTATTCGATTTTATTTCGTATGTTGTATTATGTTTACACGCCTATTTTCTCTCTCGCTCGCAATGTATTACTATGTTGTTTTTGCTAAATGTCAATCATACGCTAATTATGTCCTTATATGGTGTTCATATATCTAGTGTTTGTTCATAACCTATTTATATTTTGTTTCCAACATCTAGCAACTTGTTGAAATTATGTAATAAAATATAATAAATTAATAGTAACAAATTAATGCAGTAGCATTGTACAGTAACACGTGGTAATATACAAAGAACTTATTTATAGAATTATATGGTAAAAATGTAGTACACTTATACTAACATGAACAGTAACATGTAGGAACAAGCAGTAATTTGTCCTATATGTAATATATAGAGGTTAACTAATGAAATAGTGACTGCAATCAGTTATGTCTCGTACCTCGGTTGACAGAAAAAAATTGAAACTCGTATCTCTCATAAAATAGGCGACAATGCGTTAGTTATTAACTTTTAATTATAAAATTTCAAAGATTATTTACATCCGTTATTACGCAGAATCACGATTTGTAAATACAGGCGCGCTAATTGTATGCAGCAGTGGATCAGTTATTAAATGTTGCGTTAAAACCTTGAGTATATGCACGAAAGAGTCTTGATTACCCAACGAATTATTGTATTATTTCAAGAGATTTCCCGTTGAAGTAATAGCAGACAGTGTATGATGTAAGTTTCTTGATTTTCTCTCTGTAATACTATGAACTCTTATCAAGCAAACTCATAAATATTCAATATAACATGTAGAATCTGCCAAGCTTTGGAGCTTTAATGAAGATTTATACACCGCGTCTCCAAATATCGCCGCGCAATTTTTGTCTTTAAATTTAGACAATCACGAAAATAATATCCTTAGACTTTGTTCAAACGCATCTTGACTTACTATTTTGTAAAGCCATTGTATTTTTTTGTTAATACAAACGTCCATGATCACTAGAAATGGTAACTCTCCCCCTCCCCCTACCACAATGTTCGTTCAAACCATGGCTATTGGACTACAGTACAAACCAACATTGTAAACGTGGAGGGGGGGGGGGGGGTACATTTTTGAAAAGTCTACGAATTAATTTCCATGACTGTCTATAAAAGTACGGCACTTAGTAATTTTCGACCAGAAACAAAGATTACTATATTTTAATACCTGATTCTCTTTTTGACTGAAATTACTTTATTTACCTTGTGCAAGGTTATTGTGTAAATTTTCTTGGGGAGGGAGGCATCAGGGGGTGTGGGCAAACTGTTTAGCGACGGAATGCCTCAAAGTACTTAACTTTGACCGTTTCTATATGTTAATAAGTAAGTTATGACATAAAGTTGGGGGGGGGGGGTAAAATTGGGAAATTTTTGAAAAGTCTACGAATTAATTTCAAGCCATGTCAAGTACTCAAGCAGTATGGACGTGTGCGTTTGAGCTCGTCGAATCTTCATAAGATATTTTCGCTGTTTTAATTTCAAGTCCTCTACAGTATATTCATACTAATGTTTGATGGCTCTTTAGTTTGTTGTTTCTTAAGCTTTTACATTTAGTGAGCCATATTAGTGAAATTCATGAATTATAATTCTAAATTGATGGTTTGTATTCAGAAAAAACTTTTAAAGGATTCCGATTTTTATATCAATGAAGACTTAACTTACATTAATATGAAATTGTTCAGTCATGCTCGCAAATATGCGAGCAATATTAAGTCGACTTGGTTTTCTGATGGTAAACTTTTTGTTCGTGGTGAGTTAGACGATAAAATCTATCGGATTAGGAACATGGAGGACTTTGAACGCTATGATTTTTCTTAACTGCATGGTATATGTTATGGGCCCTTAGCCATATATCTTTGAATTCCTGAGATTTGCATGATAACTTGTTTGCCAAGGTTAATAATAAAAACCAATACCAGCTGACAATTTAAAAATATAATACAAAACATAATCCAAAGATAAGCATCTTGAAACCCAAAATATGAGTCAATTGGATTATGTTTTGTACTATATGGTTAATAATCATGGCATTGTTTTGTTGTTTTCTTTAATTAGCATTTTGTGTGTCAGTTTATGTATATTATTATTAGTCTATCTTTTTTCATCAAATTATATTTCGGAGAAGCAGCAGGTGAGTAGCTTTAATTATTATTTAAGCCTCCATATTGATGGGGTTAGTTTGGAATGTTATAGAGCAGCTATCGGACTATTTAATTGCCGCATTTCAGTTGTTTCCACGGTGAACTTTTCATTTGTTTTTTTGAATATTATGGTGGGTTGCCTGCAACTTTTGATGGTACTTGCTCTTTTCTTTATGATATGCTTAGACGTGGAGTTAAACCCTGGACCTTACCAAAATATTAATTTGAAAATTGCACACTTAAACATCCGTAGTTTGAATACACTAACAAATTTGTGGAGATCGCTTCTGCCATCGTAAATCATAAATTTGATCTTTTTGCATTATCAGAGACATGGTTGAATGATTCTATTTCTAATGACCTGTTTAGTATTCCTGGCTATTGTCCACTGATTCGCCTAGATAGATCAGACCGTAGGCGCTCAGGAGGTGTAGCTGTTTATGTTACAACTTCATTTGCTGTCAAACGTAGAAATGATTTAGAGACATGCGGCTTCGAATAGCTGTGGGTAGATTTGAAAGTAGGTTCTAACAGTCTTATCTGCGGAATTTGCTACAGACCGCCTGGAGGTGATTTAATTTCTAATGCTAGGTTTCTAGATAATTTGCAACGATGTTTAGATAAAATCAATACTCAGCTTAATAGTCTTATTACTATTATCGGTGATTTTAACGCTCATTATGACTCGACAAATCAATCTGCAAGTACTAATTTCGGTTGCCTTTTGTATCGTTGGATGGAATGTAACAACTTATTTCAAGTAATCACTGAGCCATCTAGAATTACACAACACGGAGCAACTATTTTAGATCTCATTATCACCAACTGTCCAGCATATTTTGTTCATACCTGGTACTCTCAGCCCGCCATCCAATTGTGATCATTCTTTGATTTTTGCAAAAATGAGTATAACTTTCACAAAACAAAGATGCTATAAAAGTTTTGTTTGGGATTTTAGCAATGTTAATGAATCGGAATTGTGCAATGCTTTAGTGACAGCCAATTTGGATGTTCGCACATCACATTATAATGATATAAATTTAATTTATGAAAAATGGTTTACCTGTTTTTATAACGTTATTGAGTCCCATATCTGTCACAAATTTGTCACAATATACGTTTTCGAGACAAACCCTGGATGAACAATAGTATTAGGCGAGCCATAAGAAAAAGAAACAGGTTACTTAAGATTCATGTTAAAAAGAGAACCGTGACTTCTTGGGACAGATACAGGCAGCAAAGAAATTTGATAACATCTTTAATTCGCTCAAATAAAAAGAAAGACTTTTCTAACTTGAACGAACGATTGCAAGATTCCTCAACTAGTTCAAAATGCTGGTGGGGCATAGTGAAATCTCTTTATGGTTCGAAAATGCAAATGTCAATCCCAACCTTGATAGGTATATTTGTTGTTCTAAAGAAAAAGCCGAACTTTTTAATGATTATTTCTATGCTCAATGCCTTATTGATGACAGTTGTGCTATCCTTCCATCAAATATTTCGCATTTTCAAACTACTATTACTTTGTAAAATATTTATGCATCTGAGCGTGAAATTAACGACCTACTGAAAAGCATGGATACTAGTAAGGCTTGTGGTTGCGATGGCATTGGTAATAAGATATTGAAATTATGTGCTAATGGGATTCCATGCACATCGTTTACAAGCATTGTTAATTTGTCGTTATTGTCTGGGAGTATTCCAGACCAATGGAAGCTTGCAAATGTTATTCTGACATTTAAGAAAGATGATCGTCAATCGAAGCTGAATTATACTGTAGACCTGTTTCTTTATTAGACTCATTATCTAAAATAGCTGAAAAAATAGTATATATATCCGACTGTATAATTTTATTTTGGAAATAAATTTTTAAATCCATTGCAGTCAGAGTTTCGACCTGGTGATTCTACTGTAAATCAATAAACATGTCTTGTTCATAAGATCTATGATGCTCTGGAACGGGGCGGAGAAGTTCGGATGGTATTTCTTGATATAAGCAAGGCGTTTGACAAAGTGTGGCATAAGGGACTGTTATATAAACTTGAAAAAATTGGCGTTAGAGACCTCTTGCTAAGTTGGTTCAAAAGCTATTTAACTAATCGTAAACAGCGAGTCGTTATTGATGGTCAATTTTCTGAATGGAAAAACATAAAAGCCGGTGTTCCTCAGGGTCTGTTCTTGGTCCGTTGCCTTTCTTGATTTATATCAATGATATTACTGAAAATCTTGAAACGGACTGTTTTCTTTACGCCGATGATACCTCTCTTTACGATATTGTTGAAACACCAGCGGTGTCCTCGGTTAAATTAAATAATGATCTTATAAAAAATGATGAGTGGGCTCACCAATGGTTAGTCACAATAAATCCTGATAAGACCGAATCTATGATTTTTTCAGTTAAAAAGTATCAGGTCTGTCATCCTGATTTGTTTTTTGATAACAAAAAAATTGTGGACGTTACACAACATAATCATCTCGGGTTGACATTATCAAGTAATCTTTCTTGGAAGGCTCATATTTTAAAAGTATATGAAAAAGCTTGTAGAAGATTAAATTTACTTAAAGGATTGAAATTTATTTTAAATAGGGGGACTTTGAACAGATTATACAAATCTCTTATTCGTCCATTAATGGAGTATGGGG